CATCATCACCTTCATCACCTTCATCACCTTCATCGCCTTCATCGCCTTCATCACGTTTATCACCATCACTACCATCACCCCCCCCACCAGCGTCTGTATCTACATCTTCAGCTTCGTCACCGACGTCACCTTCATCCCAGGGAGTGCGGCACACCAATATATAATTGTCAGGGCATGTCAGGGCCGTTAGGCACCAACACGCTGCGTGTGTGGCCGCTTCATCACCTCCAGAGGTTTACTTCGGCCCCGGCGACGACATCTTCCGGCGTGGCGAGGCCTTTACCACCATGTCGAGGATCTCACAAAAAGTTGAAAAAAGAGAGCCTCTGGTTCAGCTGCTCCCGGAGGTGTGCAAGCTTGGCGAAGCCATCATGCAACTTGGCAGGGTTAGATCTGGAGGAGTGCCACAAAGAGCCCTTCTTGAAAAAACTTGGGAGTTTGTTCATTTAGGTCGTCTAGGTCATCGTCTTAGCGAGTCGGCACCTACTAAGGGAACGCAGCAGGCCGAGCAAGAATTATTGAGCTCATGTTTGAGTGTGGGTTGCCAGTTTTCAGTTTTCGAGGTACATCTTGCTGCAGGGAGCGGCCATCGTCGAAGGCCGCCCTAGCCGATTTTCATTGCGGCCGTTTGCATACCCACGATGTTCTGTCTCAGGAGAGTACGGCGACGAGCTCGGCAGGCGCAGCTGCGGTACCATGGGTCCTGGCACGGTGACGTAAAACCTACGAAACCCCTAAGCCCTAAGCCCAACGTATGCCTCGAAAGAGCGGACCGGAGGCTTCCAAAGCCTTGTAGTCTTGGCTTCAGGTTGAACCCCGGGGACGTGGTGGGGGAAGGCGGTGCCCTGGGCATCGCACCGACTCGCGGCGCCACGGTTCGCGCGCCTCGGCGAGGGAGACAGGATGAGACAGGGATGCCCTGACTTCTGGACTTCTCGCATTGCATCGCTGCATGTCACCGCATGTCCTGTGAATGCCCGCACAGGCTTGGCGCGACACGCTGGTGCGCGCTGTGAGGCTGCATGGAACCTCCATTCAAAGGCCGTTGAGCCATCTGTCGGGTGCAGGGAAAGGGTTGATGCGAGCATGATCGCCATGATCATCGTGACGACCATCACATCACTACAGTCACCACAGCTGTATTCGACATTACCATGAACGCTATCAGAATCAAACGATGCCAGTTGCCCTTGTGACGAGCTCTGCAACTGCTGCCTGCGGAGGGCCATCACTGCTTTTCCTGATGAGTACGAGTCTCTCCAAGCCATCTTCCAGAAGCGCTTGGGCTGCCTTAAGATTCCCTTAAGCCCTTCAAGAGCTCACGCGCCGCGCCACCCAGGCGTGCGTCCGCCAACAAGGAAGTGGAGCGGGTGAGGCGCCCGCCGGCCGGGGGGCAGCGGGGGAGGGATGGAGGTACAGCTGTTTGGGGAAAAGAAGCGAGCGACCCCGGACACATGCGCCGACGGTGAAGGCAGAAGTGGCTACAAGAGCAAGTCATCCCAGCCCTCAACAAGTGTGCTGGCCTCAGTCAAGCGCCGCGGTCCGCGCAGGCGCGCGCTCTGCGTACAGCTTGGACTAGAGGTCGCATATTCAACGGCTTTCCGGAGCACATCATTCGAAAGATCGCCGAGCACCTGCTGCAGGCGACCTACACGAGCCGCTTGCTCTCGAAAGCTGCATCCGAGGCTGAAATCCCCCCAAAAGCGAAGCCATGCCATGGAAGCAGCGCAGAGTTGGCGATGATTTTCTCGTTTCATGATACTCCTCGTGATGAGTTCTTCTAGTTGTCATGAGGAAGAAGACGGTTGACCGTGGTGAGAGCGGAGCGATTTCCAGGAGGAAGCTGGTGGTTGATGCTATCATGCTTATGACAATCCCGCTCAACATGCGGAGGGATGACGTTGTCCACGACAAAGACCGATGCGATGCTGCCAGTGGGTGTTTTCGTCTCGTTTTGCCAAGCGTCCGGGCGCCATGATGATTCCACTCACGGTCTTGCGTCTTGCCCGGCGATCCTAGAGGCAGGCATGGCTTGTACAGTCTGTGTTCCTTTGCACATCCGCAAATCTAAGTGACCACGTTGGAAGTAGAAGGAAACTTGCAAAGGCAATGTAGGGGGTGCTGTTGCTCAAGAGAGCCAAGTCAGACCGCCGCAAACGGTTTCAAAAAGAAAGGGCACATCCAGCGGCCTATCTCCCGCGTAGTCTTTCATCCAAGTTGTTTCATCTTTGAAGAAGCGCAGCCTCCTCCTTGGCCCAGGTGGCCAAATCGTCTGTGTCGCCGGCAACGGGGCAGATTCCATGCAGCTCGGCGAAGCGATTGACCTGTGCAGTCTAGGCGTCTAGGACGAGCGGCTTGTGTTCGACGACGTCCGCCCAAGAGCATCAGTGCAGTAGGGCCAAGTAAGGATCATCTTCCTGAAGGGCGAGGGCGAGGTCCATGCGAAGTCAGGAGAGGCTTTGACTTGTCTGTTTTTGTTGCTGGAGGAAGCTGGAGAGGGAGACACTTGCAATCGGAAGCTGTTCCAGGAGACCTGATCGGAACGATCACGCCTGGTGCGATGATTGGAGAGGTCTCGGTCCTCGGCCTTTTCCCCTGGCGAACGGCGACGATCCGCGCCTTGGCCGAAAACGGTGCTGCCGGCGTCGCTTCCTTGATACTCCCATCCGCAGGCGCCACGAGCAACGCAGATGCCGTGCCTTGGGACGCAGCCAGCCGGGCAGAGCGGAGAGCGGCCGGGGGGGGAGGGGAGCGGAGCACCGGGAGGGGGCGCCTGCGGAGTCGTGGAGCCGGTCGTGGCGACTGGGCCTCCGATTGCCTGTCTTCCGCTTCTCTCACCATTCCTTCACTCGCTCCGATGCCTTGCAAAGCCTGTGCCTGTCACCACAGCACGACTCCAGCTGCGGATCGTGGCAGCCTGCCGCAGCATTTCTCCAAGCTCCCTGTGGCTCGTCGCGTAGTCGCGGGCTGGTGACTCTGCCGACGTCGGTGTGGGGGGGGTCATCGGCGTGCGAGTTCGATCAGCATGGCTTCTCATTGAGACTCCAGCCCGAGCATTTTGACTCTATCGTCTCAGGTGCTGATCACCGCCAACCTCATCACTCGGATTTTGCAGGCATGCACTGTACACATGCATGCCTAGACATGCACCTCGAGGATCTCCCCAAGTCCCCTTCTCCGCCCCCACGAGCCACGCCGTTGCGGCGTCAGGGCGATGATGCGGCCGAGGCCCGAGCCCGCTTCGAGGCGCCGCAACCGGAGGTTTGGGGAGGTGGCATTTGGGAGTTTCGCGTTGTGTTTTTTTTTTTTTTCGGCGGTTCACGCTTTCTGTTTTGGGGGGTCCGTTTCACTGCCGACCTCCGTGATGTGCCCGCTTCTGAGGCACTGCGGCAGGAGAGGTGCGATCAGGTGGAGACTCGGGCTCATCGAAAGTCACAGCAGCACTGCTTTTTCGCCTACATGGAATTCACAACTCGGTTACCCAGTCACTACCTTCGAGGAGGTTTCTTCTTTGAGACGGGAATGCGAGCTAGGTGGCTTTCCGATCGAATCAAGCAGCCAAGGAACAAGGCATGCCACTGTCGCTCCGATGCAGATGGGTTTTCAAGGATATTACATCATGTGGTTTTCACTCTGCGAAAAGGGCTCATGTTCGCCTCTAGATTCCAAGGTGCACCCTGCCCCTGGATGTCAGCGCCACCTGGCCCTCAAAGCACTGACGTTTACGAGATTCGGTCATCTGGTTGGTGGCAGTTGGAGTGCACACAGAGCCTGCATTCCTCTTAAAAATCCCATCCTTCCACAGAAACCCCTAAACCCCCAAACCCCTACAACCCCTGTAGCCTATAAGAGGAAGCCCACGAAATGCTTCCTCTGCCTTTCTGAGCCCTCGACCGAGGTCAAGGACGTGGCGGCACGCCTCTTGTCCAAAGTCGCCTTTTGGAGGGGTAGCGGGGGTGTTTGAAGGCGTGACGCAGAGAGGTGGAGAGTGGGCGAAAGTCCGGAAGAAGGCCGAAGTTGAAGAGAAGATGAAGACACCTTGATTCCTTGATGTTCTGAGGGGCTGTGGCTTTGCATGCCATTCGCTTTGACTTCGCGACTGGCGACGTCTTCAAGCCTAACTCCAAGTCGTCCGGAACCCTAGCATTTTGAAGTTGATTGAGCTTGTACAAAGAAAGATATGATTCGTATCCGTGTGTCGCGAGGCAGGGGCCACACTACTGGATACTTGTTCAAGGCTCATCTCAGTCTTCGGCGCACGGCCCCAGCTTGTTCCCTGCCAGGAACGATGAACCTCATGATGGGAAGCCGCCATATCATGCCCCGCAGCAGCAGCTCACGGTTCGAGTCGGTCTCAAACTCGCTATTTTGGTTCGGTAGTTGCCCCCCCCCCCTCTTCTGAGGGTTCCGCCTGACGCGTATGCTGGTGAGTGTTTGGGGGGGGATCTCGCGCTTGAGAAGCCAGAACGTCTCGATTTTCTCTCGTCTCTTGGGTCGAAGTCCAGGCGCCGAGGCATTGAAGATCGCCAGGTGAAGCCAAGCCCCCATGCAGCTTACCGAAACCAAGCTTCATAAGCTTTGCGACTCCGAAGGCAACACCCTGAAGAAAATCTGAAGCCCAAAGCTTCTCAACTCGGAGAATCGGAGGCTCTTCAGCGCTGGCCCAGTCAATCCTTTGATCCCGGAGCATGTCGCACAGGACTCGGGTTGGGGGCTGCTAGGGTTGAGGGGTACCTGGTACCTTTGTGGTTCAAGAAGTGCTCGCAAACGAACCTGCTTCTCAGGATTTCGGTGCGACGCTGCATGCGGCGACCCCATGCGAGGTGGGGCATGGGTGCTCTGCTTTGACGCCTGCGCTCTCTTTGTTTCGAGGCGTATCGTGTCGGCCTGTACGACATCCTCCTGGCCACACATTGCGTCCGAGCGTCGCTGGCCGAGCGCGAAGAAGAAGCGAAGCATGCTCCTCAGCTTTATTTTTTTCTTTCCACTCATGTCCGTTCTCGAGGAAGTGGTACAAGCACTTTGAGAAGCTGCTCGAGGAGGTCCAGGCCGGCAACCCGGCGAAAGCTGGCGAAGCTGAGCTCTTTTTGTGTTCAGGTGAAGGTGCGGCTGAAGCTACAGGGAGCCCGCTCCATACAAACCATGAAGCTCAAGAAATCCCGTCGCCTGGCCTGGTCAATGTGAGTTCCGTCTCAGATGTCAGATGTACTCACTTCAGTAGGCATGCAAGCCCTCTTTTACCAGGAACGGAGGTTAGCCTGCATCCGATGAAGAAGGAGGAGGAAGGCCTGCCGGCAGCGCTTTACCTTGAGCCTCAAATTTCTGACCAGCTTGTCTGTGAAGTGTCATAGCGAGTGCTGACCCAGCGTGGAACCCTTCGGGGATCTACGCGGGACGGCACCCTGACACTCTCTCACAGAAGGCTGCAGTCAGAAAGATTACTGTCACGATCTTTTTGCTTTTCCGATAGTGTGCCCCGGAGCGCAAGTTTCAGTTGCACTATCATCCTCCACCCACTTGCCTCGTGCATCGTCCTCGACTTGTGGTCAATGGTGTGGTCGTGTCGTGTCGCGCCTCCCGCTTTTGATCGGGTATGGTGGCCAAGATCCAGGCCTCAGACGCATGGAGCATGTGGCAGGCGACAGGGACAAGGCCATGGGCATGGACTTTGTGGCTCAGGCCCCTCGGGATTCCGGCAAGCGGTGACCCATAGCCACTTGGGGACCCAGGTCGGGGTTGCTGTGTTGGCTTCTCCCAATTCCCATACTTAAACGCATCTCTGTTTGCAGCTATGCTGATAGGGTCCCAGGGCACGCACAGCAGAATTTGTGCAAGATATAGGCATGCTCAAACAGCACTTAATCTATCGTAACAATGATGATGCCTTTGGCAAAAATATTGTAGGGCCTGGCGGCACGGGCCGGCATGGCCGTCGCCGCTCCGGTTTCCGCCCCGAAGATGCTGCCAACAGTTTGGCAAGCCCTAAAACCGTAAACCCTAAACGCTAAATCGTGAGCCACGCGCTCGCGCGCGCGCGCGCCGTACGCGAGCATCAGCAGCATCATGGTCACCGGTCGTGTTTCCTTTCTCGTGCTTTGGGGCCATTGGAACCGCCTCAAAACGACCCCAGAACCAGGTACGGCAGCAATATCGACGCGATTGGTGCTTGATTTCTGCCACGCGGGGTCGTTCGTGCTGTAGACTGCCCAACACAGACCCCCCATCGGCCCACAAACC